ATAGAAAATAGAATAGAAAATAGAAAATAGAATAGAAAATAGAATAGAATAGAAAATAGAATAGAATAGAAAATAGAATAGAAAATAGAATAGAATAGAAAATAGAATAGAATAGAAAATAGAATAGAAAATAGAATAGAAAATAGAATAGAAAATAGAATAGAATAGAAAATAGAATAGAAAATAGAATAGAAAATAGAATAGAATAGAAAATAGAATAGAAAATAGAATAGAAAATAGAACATAATAGGGAATAGAGAAAAGAAAAGAATAGAAAAGAATAGAAAATAGAATGGAATAGAAAAGAAAATAGAACAGAACAGAATAGAATTCTTTATTGGCCAAGTGTAATTGGGCACACAAGGAATCTTTTCTCCGGTGCACAAGCTCTCAGTATACATATAAACAACAGTAATAGGTCATAAATCATAGTTGCAACCATTAATCTTAAGTTACAAACAACAATGGGAAAACATAGCAGGAGAAGAGGAGAAAAGAGGAGAAATGAGACAGTGCTGTGGGAATTAAGTGTTCAGCAGAGTGATGGCAGAACCAGACATAAGCTATTTTTATGTCTGGCTGTTTTGGCATGCAGTATTGCAGCATCTTGAGGGGAGGAGTTGAAGCAGTTTATGTCTACGATGTGAGGGGTCTGTAGATATTTTTTCAGCTCTCTTTCCGACCCATGCAATATACGGGTCCTCAATGGAAGGCAGGCTGGTTGCAATTGCTTTTTATTCTGCAGTCCCAACTATCCCTTGAAGTCTGTGCCTGTCCTGTTTGGTTGCTGTGCCAAACCAGACAGTTATTGAGGTACAAAGGACAGACGCAATGATTCCTCTGTAGAACTGTATCAGCAATGAATATGCAAATTAATTTCGGCAAGCTAGCTTTTTGTCCCCCCGGTACACTGGCCAAAAACTCTGGCCCTCAAAACCTGGTTACAGAAAGATGAAAGATGCTTTAGAAATGCAACCTACCTTGAGGTCTTCGTAGGTGTCTGCTGAGAGCTTGGTGCTGTTCATGTTTAAACTACAGAGGCTTTTCATGGCTAGGAAATAAACACAGAAGGATGTTGGTCTGCATGCAGCTTGCAAAATGTAAAGGTTCCTCTCACACAGATATGCTAGTTGTTCCCGACTCTAGGGGGCAGTGCTCATCTCCGTTTCAAAATCGAAGAGCCAGCGCTGTCCGAAGACGTCTCCGTGGTCATGTGGCCGGCATGACTAAACACCAAAGGCGCACGGAACACTGTTACCTTCCCACCAAAGGTGGTTCCAATTTTTCTACTTGCATTTTTACATGCTTTCAAACTGCTAGGTTGGCAGAAGCTGGGACACGTAACGGGAGCTCCCTCTGTTACGCGATGCTAGGGATTCGAATTGCCGACCTTTCTAATCGACAAGCTCAGTGTCTTAGCCATTGAGCCACTGTGTCCCTATGCATAAAAAATGGGAAATAGTTGAGGACTAGCAGTTGACATCCTGCAGACTTTTCCCAAATCAACCTCTGGACTTTAAAGAGCACTCGACCCCTTCATTTTCGATCAGTTTGTCTCCAAAATTAAGCCCAGAAAGCTGATCCAATACTTTATGTTTTCCTTGATTAAAGAATTAAGGGCTTGGAGACAAAAATGTATGAAGAATGTTTGCAGGAATTGGGTTTGGCCAGTCTAGAAAGACGGACTAGGGGTGACATGATAGCAGTATTTCAGTATTTGAGGGGCAGCCACAAAGGAGAGGGGGTCAAATTATTTCCCAAAGCACCAATCAGTGGAAACTAATCAAGGAGAGAAGCAACCTGGAATGAAGGAGAAACTTCCTAAGAGTGAGGACAATTAACCAGTGGAACAGCTTGCCTTCAGAAGTTGTAGGTGCTTCATCACTGGAGATTTTTAAGAGACTGGACAGCAGGGGTGAAATCCAGCAGGTTCTGGAGAACCAATAGCAGAAAGTTTGAGTAGTTTGGAGAATCGGCAAAACCCCACCTCTGGTGGGGTGGGAATGGAGATTTTTTGCAGTATCCTTCCCCTGCACGCCCACCAAACCACACCATGTCCACCAAGCCATGTTTACAGAAGCGGTAGTAAAAAAATGGAATTTCACCACTGCTGGACAGCCATCTCACTGGTATAGGGTCTCCTGTTAGAGAAACGGGTTGGACTAGAAGACCTCCAAGGTCCCTTCCAGCTCTATTATGATTTGATTAGATGCTAACAAGTTGGAATCGACTCTTTGCAAACAACTACAAAGATTCTGGTAAAAATCATCCTCTTCTGTAGTGCATTTGGTGAGGAAAAAAAATAACCAGGACAATAATGTATATTCTTTTTTTTTTTTAGTTCTGATGACGGTGATTTCATAGATGTTTTAAAGTTTATATATCGCAGGCTGCCATACCTTAAGGTTAAAGTTTGCCATAACAAAATTCTATTTTAAGAATAAAGTAATGGTCCAGCAATGTTTTCTCCACAAAGGCGTGATATAGAATCTTGATATTTTTTTTAAAGAATGAGTTTGCCAAAATCAGCTGGTTCTTGATCTAAATATATTACTTATTATCTAAAATGAGATTTCCTATAATATGGGTAATAAGCCCATGATAAATAATCCAATCTGACTGTCGGATTCTTGTGAGATTATCAGCATTAGTTGCAAAATAATTGCAAAACAATCACTTGATAATGCCAAACCTGGAAAGATTAATTCCAAGGAGCAATGAACTGATTATTCCCTCTCCCCCCCCCCAATCTTTTTAATGCGGGTCATATATGGGCTATGTTAATGAGTGGTAGAGGCAGATATTTCTCTCTCTGGGCACAATGAGAATATCAGCTGAACTCTGCAGTGACAACAGGAAGGGCATCCGGCCAGTAAATACTCAGCTCCATTCAGTTGCCCCAGACTCCACTCCGCAAAGAATTATAGGTTCATTAAAAGATTATGATGATATATGGATTAAGCTATTCTCTTTACCATACAATTCTCTTTATTATTTGCTGCAAACAATTTTTTTTCTCTTTCTCTCCTTCTATTACAAATCCCCCCCCCCCCATCCATCCCTCCAAAAGAAGAGGAGTGATACTGTGGTTTGATTAATGCACTGCGCTGAATTGGTCCCTACTCTTCCCATCACCACACCAGGTTTTTCCCCCCAACTTACAGCTCAGGGCCAGCAGTCCAGCATCGGTAACTGGCGTTTCACACAAGTTGACCACTTGAAGCATTGTGAGGTGTTCAGAGAGGAGCCGCAAACCTGCATCCCCAAACTCCAGGGAAGAAAAAAGAAAAAGAGAAAAGGGATGTTTATAAGCAGCAGTCAAAATAAACGAACTCTAAACCTGAGTTTGCTTTGTTTTCTTGCAGGCGTTTCCTCACCCAAACTAGGTAACATCAGCAACAGTGGTGGGTTTCCTTTTCTTTTCTTTTTTACTACTGGTTTGCTCATCTGCGCAGAAACGCCCGGATGGGTGGGCGGAGCCTCCTGCCACCGCCACTATTGGTTCGCCTGATCTGGGCCGAACCAGCAAAAACCCACTTCTGATCAGCAGCATTGATTGTTACCTGGTCAGGCCATGAAACGTCTGCAGGAAAACAAGCAAGCTCAGAGAGCCTCTCATTTCATCCCTGAGCCACAAATATCCTCCTTTATTGGAACTCTAAACCTGTAGGATTATTATGGAGGGCCAAAAAGTCCATCTCAGGTAGCGTAGACCTCCCTTGTTTTGAAAGCAAAATGCTGAAGTAGATTTTATCCCAGAACTGCAATGGGTTTTGGACCGAGTTCCAGAAAGATGCTTTGAAACCACGCAGTGCCTCTCTGAAACTTGCCTCCAGAGGTTGTGAACGCTTCAACACTGGAGGTGTTCCGGGGGTCCGGCGCGCATGCACGCCTGACGATCAGCTGGCCTTTGTGTGTGTATGGCACTGCCGGAAACGGGAAACGCTGGTTTTTCCATTTTCCGGCGTGACCATGCGTGCCAGCCAGCCGATCCTCACCAGTCACTGGAAGCCTAGCTGGCTGGTGCGCCTGCCGGAAACCAGAAGTGCATTTTCCAGTGCGCACATTCCCCCTGGGCAGCTCCTCTTCTGGGTTGTGTCCCAGACGAGCGTGCACGGCATCAGGTTCGCCATCATTGCTCTAGTGGGTGGAACAGGCGCACTTTGAAAGAGGAAGGAATGCATTTGAGTGAAATCTCCTTCAGAGGGCTAGGCTGCTTGCCCTGAATGAAAGCAGCTTTTCTTGGGGTGATGCGTTGCCCTCCCTCCTCCCGGTGTCAGGCCTGCAGCCATGTCCCTCTTGGATCTTTGGCCTGCCACACTTCTATTCTACTCTGCTGTTTCTATAGTGGGGCATTGGGAGGGGGGATAACATGGAGAAGAATGTTACGTAGCCAAAACAAAATTCCTTTCTAGAAAACCAAGGTCATCCTTTGTCTTTGCACCTCTGCACCTGACCGGAACTGGATGGGTGGAACTGACAGCATGGCAGTGGGAGATTGGACCACGTGATGGACTGGTGGGTGTGGGGGAAAGATCATGAACTTTAACGTGGGTGGGGAAAACTGAGAAGTTTTCAGATTCGGGTTTCCCCAGATGTGCCAGCACGGTTCTCTTAATAAATTGGAACTTTCAGCAGTACTTTGCCTTGGACTCTGATTTAATTTTGGATGCTATCTGGAACCCTGACACTCGGTTTGAGTGAGCACAAACTTCCCTGCCCAGGGTGGCTTGCACAGCCCATACCTGAGTGGACCACAGGTTCAGCTGCTTGAGTGAAGGCAGTTTAATTAGATACTCTGCACAGGCACTTGTGACGTTGGTGAAGGCCAGGCTGAGGTTCTCCAAATTCCCAAAAGAGCCCGAGCTTAAGAGACGAGCCAGGTCCGCATCCTAAAAAAGTAAAAAGAT